CAAGGGGACCCGGCCTTAGAGTTGTTGCCCCCCCCGCCTCGCGTAGGGCAGATGGGGCAGTGGAGAGAGCCCTGCTGCCTGCTGGTCAGTGAGAGCGGGCACCCCAGGCCCAGGCCCAGGCAGCCGCATGGAGAGCACCACCCTCTCCCTCTGGGGCCAGAGGGCCTGTCCACACTGGGCCTCAGGACCTGTCACTTCCCTTGGGCTGATTTTGAGGGGCCCCCCTGGGCTTCAGCCACGCAGCAGGGGGCGGGGCCACAGGGCGGGAGCAGAGGCCCCACCAGCCTCTCACCTGTGCCCCCCTGCCTGGGCAGTGCAGCTGGCTGCACAGGAGCCCCCGTGGGAAGTCGCCCAACACAGGCTCCCACCTGCTCCGAGCCTCTCATGGAGCCTGCCTGGGGGAGAGCCGGGGGTACTCCCGGTGGGGGGATGCTTTCTGCTCTGTGGGAGTGCGGCTGTGTCCATCAGGGTCAGGGCGGAGGGGGCCGGGGCTGCCGCAGAAGCCACACTGACCTCCTGTCTCTGCTCCCCACCTGGTGTCCTCCCCTTGGTCCTCCCTCTATGTCCCACCCCCCCCCACTTTAGTGGCCACCCACTCATTTTTTTGTTCATCACAGATTTGTCGAAAGCCAGGCCAAGCCCGGGCTGGGGCGTGGCGGGGGGTCCCCTGAAGGCTGGGCTGCCAGCGCCGCTGACACCCTCCACCCTAGGTTTCCAGAAGCTCCTTCAGTCATCCACCTGTGAAAACCAGTGGCCCAGGCCGGCCTTTGATCTGCTCCCCAGGGTGCCCCTGCCGGCCTCCCCTCCACTTAGCTTCTGCCTGTTGAGTCCTTCTCCTGGGCAGGGAGCCCACGCTCTGGCACCCCATGGCCGCAGCTCTGCCCACCCCCTCCAGGGTCACACTCTGCCTCCATCCCTGTGGGGGCCAGTTCCTGTTGACAGCCCAGCCCCTTGGAGGCTAAGATTCAGCCCAGTCTGCTTAGCATAACCCATTAGCAGCTGTGCAGATGACTCAAAGCTCACCTGAAAAAACAAAAACAGGGCCCTCCCTGGTGCTGACGTGTTAAAGTGCAGCACCAGTTCGATCCCCGGCCAGGGAGTGACCCGCAGGGCGCGGCAGACCTCTCCTGGCCCACCTGCTGCTCCCCTCAGCCGTGTTCTTCATCGGCCTGCCTGTTCTGCTCCCCACTCTGTCTCTGGGGAGTCCTCTCACCCCCTCCACTTCTGACCTGTACCCCAGTTCTGTATGCATAAATAAATAAAGCTTTTTAAAAAAGCAAAAAAATGAGAATATCTAGGAAATTTCTTGAGAGGCCAAGAAGGAAGACGATCCCATGGAATCCTAAACTGTGACTAAATTATAAAGCTGTTGGTTTGGTACTGATGCTGAGATAGGTAAGGCAGTTCAACAGGACAGACTGCAGCCCTCCCTCCCACCAAGGCGCACTAAGCTCACTTATTTGGGGTGTAAGTAGCATTTGCTACCAGTGGTTGAAAACAACTTCCTGGAGAAATGCTATGGAGACCATTGGTAAGCCCCCTGGAGCCCAATGATGGAAATATATATAATATAATATAAAGTACTGTGGGGAAAAGGTTAGACTAGCAGTCTTTGAAGCAAGGCAGGAAATCAAAAAGCTATACAATATGGATGCAGGATCAATATGAATGCATTACAACTCCAGTGGAAAAAATTTAAACTGCATAATAATAATACAGGAAAAATAAGACAAATATGTCCACATAAGTATACAAACTTATGTGGGCCCCTTTATAAGGAATTCTGAAAAACTAATATGAAACAGGGAAGAGATTCAAATTTCCTTTTAAGTGAAAAATCAAACAGGACATGTCATTTAAAATTTTATTAGTAGGTTATTGTATAGTGAAGTTTTAGGTTTACAGAGAAGTCTGTGCATGGGGTTTCCACATACCTCGCCTTGTCTTGCTGCTGTGGTAGGGTTTCCAGTGCTGTGAGAAGGGAAGTGGGGTTCCCTCCATCCTTCTTAGGGTAAAGGCATCAGGTAAGAATAAACCTGTTACTACAGAGTTGTAGATTCTATCAAGTCGAGGAAGTTACTTCTTACCCGATTTTGCTAGGAATTTTTATCATGAGTGGATGCTTGATTTTGTCCAGTGCTTTATTTGGGGGGGGGGCTCTACTGAGATAGCATCATATGATTTTTCTTCTTTAGCTTACAGATGTAACAGGTGACCTAACTGATGCTGGGCCAGCCTCGCAGACCCGGAATGACTCCCACTTAGTTGTGGGGCAAAGTTCTTTTTACACATTGTTGGTCTCGTCTCGATTTGCAAATATTTCGAGTATGTCGCGTCTGCTCTCATACTGTAGTTTTTCTTTCTTGCAGTATCTTTCCCTTTTAGTATTAGGGACCTACTGACGTCACAGAATGAGTTTGGAAGTATCTCCTCTGCTTCTGTATTCTGGAAGAGTGTAGAGTTGCTATCATTTCTTCCTTGAATGTTTGGTATATACAGCCCTCCCTGGTGGCGCAGCAGGTTAGAGTGCAGCTCTGTGAGGCTGCCCACAGCCACTGCCGCGTGAGTGACCCACATGGCATGGCAGACCCCTACTGCCTCCCCACTGCCCCCCTCAGCAGTGTATTTCACTCAACCTGCTTGTTCTGCTCCCCATTCTGTCTCTGGTGAATCCTCTCACCCCTGTTCCTGTGGCCTGCACCCCAGTTCTTGTATGCATAAATTTAAAAAATAATAAAATTTTAAAAACTGTTTGGCATATGTATATATTCACCAGTGAGCCTACCTGGGCCTTCCTGTTTTGGAAGCTTATTAGTTTTAGTAACTTGTACCTAATTGATTCGATAACTGCAATAGAGATAAGCCTATTCGGATGGTCTTTTTCTTCTTGTACGAGTTTTGATAGATTGTATCTTTCAAGAAATTGGCCATTCACCTCCCTTATGGAATTTGAGGGCGTAGAGTTGCTCATAATATCCCTCTTGACCCCTTTAATCATGGGAACAGTAATGAGTAATGTCTTTTTCTCCATTAGCACAAGGAGAGGTTTGTTATTTTTCAGAGAACTAACTCCTGATTCCTTTCATTTTCTCTATTTCCTGTTTTCAACTGCACTGATTTCTGTTCTCATTATTATTTTCTTCTGCTTATGTTAGATTTACTTTTTCTAGTTTCCTAGAGGGAAACTTAGATTACTGATTTCAGATGTTTCTTTTCTCATATATCTGCTCGGTGTTACAACTTTCCTTCTAAGCACTGTTTTTACTGCATTGCACAAATTTCAATGATGCATGTTCCTCTTTTTTGTGTATATACTTAAACATGACATGCCTTTTTTTTTCTTCAAAGATTTACTTTTATTTATTTATGTATACAAGAGCTGGGATGTAAGCCAGAGCTGTAGGGGGTGGGTGGGATGACAGGATTCACCAGAGATGGAGTGGGGAGCAGAAGAGCTCTACTGAAATACTGCTGAAGGGAGCAGCAGGCCGGTCAGGAGAGGTCTGCTGCACCATGTGGGTCAGCTCCCTGGCTGGGACTGAACTCCTGATGCAGTGGCTGCAGACAACGTCATAGTGCTTTTAAACTATTGCGCCATGGGGGAGGGCCCTCTACTGTGACTCTTCATCCCGAGTTTAACGTCCCTTGACTTAAGTTTCAGCACCGCCCAAGGCCCACCTCAGGGAGATCATACTTTGCAGCACCTCAGCCTTCTTGTGCCCACACTCACACTCACCAGCATCTGCACTTCCTGAATTTTTCCTTCACCCCCACCTTCATGGGGACCGGCCAGGTCCGCATGTCCTCACCCCAATCACTGTAGTCCCACTGTCCCATTTCTTCCTCCTTTTAGGGCAGCTGGGTCCTGGGGGAGGAGGGGGAACTTGGGATCCCTACACCTTGGTGGCCCCAAACTTTCTCATCCACAGCAGCTTCCTTATTGTCACCCTGTGCCTGGATATACCAGGTCTGCAGAGGAACTCAACGAAGTTACAGGGCTGTTTACTTCCCCCAGGACTGGGGCCAGAGGCAGTGTGGGAGGCCAGGGGTGGAGGACGAATAAGCCCATTGGTGGGGGAGTTGTCTCTGGCAATGAGTCCAGAAGGTCAGTGCAGCAGGAGACTTGATCCAAGGGAGTCTCCCCCGACTTCCCAGCAGCTGTGGTCGGAGGAGTTGGCAGTCAGGAGCTCTGGCCAAGGCCTGGACAGCCTTCCATGAGAAAGTCACCCTCCTCTCCCTGGTGTGCCTGGAGCCATGCAGGAGCCCTCAGTCTGTCCTTAACTGACACCCCCAGCCAGGGCCTCCATCCCTCACACAGGCCTGGGGGCTTGCTGCCCTCCTCTTGCAGTTTTCCAGATCTAGGCAAGCTTGCAACAGAAGCCTCTCATCTACCACCAGCCTGAGACTCACTCCCCAACAAATAAAACCACACCCCGAAACAGACACCCTAGGGTGGGGCTTGGTGCTCAGATGGAAGCTGTGAGGACTCAGCCAGCTTGGGAAACTAGGCCACAGAAGTTAAGACTGCGGCCATGGATGCCATGGTGGCAGGGGGACCCTCCTGTCCCATCCCCCAGCACAGGGCTTCTGTGTCACGTAAGACAGGAGGAGGAAACATCAGTGCCCACACTGTACGACTTCCACTGGGGAACCCCACATTGGACTCTGGACCCAGAATGAGATCTAAGAAATGAATTCGTCGCCTTCTCCAGGGATCGATCTTTGTAAATGTATGTCTTTGAAAAAAGACTGCAAACGCGCCGTCACTGTCCTGCCAGCCACAGGGTAGCAACACTGCAGGGGAACCTCGCCTAACGGACCCGCATACTGCAGAAACATGGCGACCCTTCTCAGCCGCACTCAAGATGGCCGCCTGGCCGGGCCGGCTACTGGCTTTCGCGCAGACGCACTTCCGCCTGACGCTCCCAACATGGCCCCGCCTGCGCTCTCCGGGGCGGGGCCAAGGGCGGAAGTGGGTGTGACAGGGACGGGAGCCGAGAGGGCCCAGCGCGACCTGGTTGAGGTTGTGAGTACCGCTGGGTGGAAGCGATGATCCCCCCGCAGGAGGCGTCTGCCCGGCGGCGGGAAATCGAGGACAAACTGAAGCAGGTGGGGCTGGGAAGCGAGGGAAGAGGTGCGGGATGGGGCCGGCCGTCTGCTCGGCTGGGAAGTGGGAGGGGACGCCCCTAGGGAAAGCGGGGTGGGGGCGAGGCCCGGCGCCGGGACGCGGTCATCTCCTTCAGCTGCGGCTTCTGCTGATGTCTCAACCCCGCTGCCCCAGGAAGAGGAGACTCTGTCCTTCATCCGGGACAGCCTGGAGAAGAGCGACCAGCTCACCAAGAACATGGTGAGGAGCTCGGGCGGGGAGGGACGGGCGGCCCCCCGCCCCCAGGAGAGCCTGGCCCGGTCGGGACTGGGCAGCGGTCGGGACTGGGCAGCGCGCGGTCCCTCTGGCCCCGTGTCGCCCCTACCCCGAGGGTGCAGCAGCCCCCCGCAGCCCACACTTTGCTCTGTCGACTCCATCCTTCCTTCTCTCCTTGGCTCACACTGCTCAAGTGGGCAGTGCCCGCTGGCCGGTGTCGTCCTCAGGGCCGGCCAGTGGATGGCAGGTCCAGTCATCCCCGGCCACGCAGGTGGCGAAACTCAAACTCCATCACGATTCCAAAAACAAAACAAACTCAAAAGTCAGGGGATCTGGGATCTAGTCCTTGGGGCTCTTCACCGGGTGACTCCTGACAGGCACAGCCTAGGTTACCCCTCTGCAGAGAGAGACAGTGCTACTGCCCGTGTCACCGGAGTCATTAGTGGGAGCTCCGCCCCAGTCCAGGCCCACAGCAGGAGCCGGTCAGCAGGGCTTCCTTCCTTCCTCCTAGAGGACAGGAGAAAAGCGCAGACTGAGTAGATACAGTGTGGGAGTGTAGTATTCGGGACACAGTCGCGGAGTCCTAGTATTCAGGACACAGTAGCGGAGTCCTAAGGGAATTACCCCCACTGGGGTTTTGAAGGGCCAGTGCTGCGCTTCAGGCCACCCTATTCAGTCCTGGAAAGCTTCAGACAGAACAGAAATTGAGACTTGACTTCAAAGGCTGGAAGAGAAGCCCTCCTCGGGCACCGTCTGGCAGTGTGGCAGTTACTTTGATGCTGGGCTTGCCATCAAATAAAGTTTCATCCCATTGGTTCCACCCCCTATGTGCTGGCACACAGCAGCAGGCCACACCCCCTGCCCCTCCCCTCCCAGAATTTGCTGCCCAGGAATCCATACAAAAGGCAACAGGGCCCTCCCTGGGGGCACAGCAGGTCGCACAGCAGGTTAAAGCGCAGCACTGCAAGGTAGCCTCAACTGCTTCAGTTCGAGTTCTATCTCCACCCCGGAGGTGACCCACAGGGTGCAGCAGACCCCTCCTGACCTGCCTGCTGCTCCCCTCAGCAGTGTATTTCGTCAATCTGCCTGTTCTGTCCCTCACTCTGTCTGGTGAAGCCTCTCACCGCCCCTGCACCTCTGGCCTGTACCCCAGTTCTTGATGCATAAATCAATAAATAAATCTTTTTATTTTTAAAAGGCAGCAAAGGCTGGGGGGGTGAAGCAGTGCTGGGGTATAGCTCATTGCCCCCCCAGGTGTCCATCCTGTCGTCCTTCGAGAGCCGCCTCATGAAGCTGGAGAATTCCATCATCCCCGTGCACAAGCAGACGGAGAACCTGCAGCGGCTGCAGGAGAATGTTGAGAAGACTCTGTCCTGCCTAGACCATGTCATCAGCTACTACCATGTGGCCACTGACACTGAGAAGATCATCAGGGAGGGGTGAGCGAGGCCCAGACGGTCACATTCCTCAAGCCTCCGCTGGCCCGAGGTCCTGGGAGGGAGAGCGGACATCGTGGGGCCTGGGCACCATGTTGGCCCGGCCCTCCCTTCCAAGTGCTGTGCCCTTGACCTGCCTCACCCGCACACACCTCACTCGCACCCTGACATGGCTCTTCTCCTTCCCAGCCCCACAGGTAGGCTGGAAGAGTACCTGGGAAGCATGGCCAAGATTCAGAAGGCCGTGGAGTATTTCCAGGACAACAGCCCAGACAGCCCAGAGCTCAACAAAGTGGTAAGTGGGCGCGGGTGATGTGACAGGCTCGGGGACACAGATTCCTGTCTCGGACACAGGGCCAGCCCAAGGGAAACACAGTAGCCAGACGTGTGTGGCTTACAGTACGCAGGCGAGGCCGTGAGGCCTGCCGTGCTAAGAAGCTAGCGATGTGCGTTTTCGTTACCCGTTTATGACTGCACTGAGTCACGTCATATGCAGCGATAGGTTATAAGTTGATAGAGTGTAAGTGCAAGCAGCCGATGCGGCTCTGCTAGCCCCTGGCATGCCCGAGGTGCCGAGCGGTGCCATGCGGAACATGCGGCCCCCTTCTGCCCATCACTCTCGGGGGTCCCAGGTGTTCAGCTCCTGTGAGGGCGCCAGGAGCCTCACACACGTGCTTTCGTGTGGAAAGACTTTGGTGTTCTTACCCTGATGTCTGTCCCTTATCAGACACCTGATTTGCAGATATTTGCAAATATTTGCACTCATCCTGTGGGTCGTGTTCACTTTGTTGACTTGTGCAGCACAAAATTTTTCATTGTTTTAAAAGATTTATTTGCTTATGCATACAAGATCTAAGGTGCAGACCAAAGGCGTGTGTGTTGGGGCCGGGGGGTGCAGATGAGAGGATGCCCCAGAGACAGCGTGGGGAGCAGAACAGGTGGATCCACGAAATCCATTGCTGAGGGGAGCAGTGGGGAGACAGGAGGGGTCTGCTGCGCCCTGGGGTCCCTCCCTGGCCGGCTTCAAACTCGTGCCTCGTGCTGCAAACAGCTTCACAGTGCTGCGCTGTAACCCCTGCGCCACCGCGGAGGGCCCAGTACAAAGTTTTGAATTCAGCCTATTCCAGTGTGTGTTATTTTTTAATTTTGCAACCCCCTTTCTAACAAGAAGGCAAATTAAAAGTGGTGTGAAGACTAATAGCTGGTCTTTATGAAGCACCTACTTGTAAACCCCGGCTTCCCCTGTGAACCGGCCTCTGCGTGCGAGAGACAGTCAGGGAGGCCCCGCAGCAGAGGGAGTGAAGGCCGAGGGTGGCAGAGGCCCAGGCGCCGGCGCCGCACCGGGGCAGCAGGTGGGAGACGCAGTGCGGGCGCCTCCTCCTCGCCCCCTGTCCCTGCAGAAGTTGCTGTTTGAGCGGGGCAAGGAGTCGCTGGAGTCCGAGTTCCGCAGCCTGATGACCCGGCACAGCAAGGTGGTCTCCCCCGTGCTCATCCTGGACCTGCTCAGTGGCGAGGACGAGCTGGAGGTCCAGGACGAGGTGCCCCTGGAGCACCTGCCCGAGGGCGCGCTGCAGGACGTCATCCGCATCTCCCGCTGGCTGGTGGAGTACGGGCGCAACCAGGGTGAGCCCGGGCCCTGGGGTCCGGCCAGAGGCGCCGGTTGCTTTATGCCGCCTGGGTTGTGTTTACTAATTTACCCATTAAAGAACTGGGTGTGCACAGAGGTGCAGGGGGTGGGAGGCTCCACCGGAGACCGAGTGGGGAGCAGGACAGGTGGGTTGATTGAAGTCCACTGCTGGGGGCAGCGGGGACACAGGCGAGGTCTGCTGCGCCTGGGGGTCCCTCCCTGGCCGGGATCGAACCCGTGCTGCAGGGCTGGCTGTAGCTTGATAGCGCGGAGAATTTAAGCCCTGCACCGCCGGGCAGGGGCGGGGGGCCTGGATTGCTGTTAAATCCAACACCGAATAGGAAACCACTGGAACAACTGACCTGCAACCTAAGCTCCGACTCGACTAGCCAAATCTCAGTTTTTCACGATCTCCTTCTCTTTCCTGCTTCTTGTCCGGTTTTGATTAGTCAGACACATGTCAAATAGTGCAGGAAGGTGGAGGTGAACGGGAAAGCCTGTCTCCCACTTCCGGCCGGTAACTTCCTGCCCCAGATGAGCGCCGGCAGGGATCCTTGCAGCCTCCGCGCCTGCCTGAGCGGCTGCCTGAGCGAGCGCGAGGGCACGTGAGCCGGCCGTGTCCCGAGCGGGCAGGACACTCCCGCAGTCCGCAGTGCTGCGGTTTAGCTCGTGGTGTGCCTCGAGGCTGCCCCACAGCAGCTCGGGAGAACATGCCTCGTTCTTCACAGCTGCGTAAGGTCCGCGTTTGGGGACCTCACTCCGTGAGCCAGTGCTAGGGTTAAAAACTAAGAAAGCTGGAGCTTTAAGCAACAATTTTAGCAAACAAACTTGACCTGAAGCTCTTCAGCTCTCACCATTACCCCTTCCCTCGGGACAGTGGGGTGACAGGTCCCAAGGCCCCGTGGATCGACCCCATGAACACGGTGGCTCATGAGCTTCTGGGGGACCCAAGCTCCACAGGAGGTTCCTGGGGCTCCCTAGGCTCCTGGGCTCCCTTTGCTCAGAGCCAGTGTGCGTTGGTCCACCGTTTACATCGGGGTTCCTGGGACTTCCAAGTGGGGAGCCGCTGAAATGCACCTCAGTGTCTGGTGTCCCCCTTTTTCTCATTCATCACAACGTGGGGTTCCCCGCCTTCCTAGCACCAATAAGCAGCGCCGCCGTGAGTCAGTTTCCTAAATGGTGTGGCCCCACTGGGGGTGTCTGACAGGAGTCGGGCGTGTCGCCTGCGGGCCCTGGGGAGACCCTCTGTGGGGCGACGGCTGCCTGGCCAGCGGCCAGCCCAGTGGTCAGCCCAGTGGCTTGCTCCTGGCCAGCTCTCGCTCTCGGCAGCTGGGCAGTGCCCTCGGCCTTCGCTTTCTGTCCGGCCACAGCTGAAGAGCTGGTGTTCTCGGTCCAGGCTTCGGCCACCCCCGAGCTCCACACCCTCAGTCCCTCCCGGTGGGACCTGGGTGTTCGCGTCACGCATTTGGTCTAAAGCAGCCTTGTCTCGGAAGCGTAGCACTCACCGCCAGGCCTGAGGTGGGAAGAGGCCACGGGCGGCTGTGAGCCAGAGCAGATGGCGGACGGTGTGGGCGGTGGAACTCGGGGCCCGCTGCTCTTCCCAGTGCGGCGTCCCTGGGAAGGAGGCGCTGTGGCATGGCGGAGGCAGGGACCCCGCTGCCACCTGTCACCTGTGTCTCCTCAGATTTCATGAACGTCTACTACCAGATTCGCTCCAGCCAGCTCGACCGCTCCATCAAGGGCCTGAGGGAGCATTTCCGGAAGAGCAGTTCTTCCTCTGGGGTCCCCTACTCTCCTGCTATCCCCAACAAGAGGAAAGACACGCCCACCAAGAAGCCAGTCAAGCGGCCAGGTGAGCCCCGCCCTGCCTGCCCACCTCCAGGGCCAGTGGGAGCTGGACTGCGTGGGGTGGCGGCAGCCGCCCCAGAGCGTGTCCTCAGGGTGACGAAGCTGCAGGGACAGAGCACATCTGCCCCCGCCGGCCGCCTGGGGCGCAGACACTTGAGCGGGGCCTCAGCGTGCAGGGGCGGTAACGGGGCAGACAGGCTTGCTGGCCCCTGTCCCGTCAGGGGCCCGTTCACTGTCACAGCCCCGTGGGGACAGCGGGTAGCGCATCGCCCTCCAGAACACCTGGCTGGCTTGAAGCGCCCTGTAGCCAAAGGTGGCTGGGGGAGGGCTCACTTCTTTTTTGATGATTTTATTTCTTTGTGCACAAAAGAACTGGGGTGCAGGCTAGAGGTGTGGGGTAGGTGAGAGGCTTTTCCAGACAGTGGGGAGCAGAGTAGATCCACTGAAAGCCACTGCTGAGGGGAACAGCAGGGAGACAGGAGAGCCTGCTGCGCCCTGGGTCCCCCCCTGGCCGGGGTGCGGTGGCTGGCTGCAGTCGGACAGCGCCGAGACTTCACCCCGCGCCGCAGGACCCGGAGCGCCCACACTTCCATAGTCGCTCTGCAGGGCCGAGCCCCAGACCGCCCTTCTGAAGAACTGAACTGGGCTTTTCTTCCACACTCGAAGTAGTGCCCAGTGGTGGGAGAGCCGGGGCGAGCCGGGACCTGGCCGCGGGCACCGCGGGCGTCCCCGCCTGGCCTCTCGCCGTGGCCGTGACCGTGTAGGCGAGCTCAGCTTGGCCACGTCCCTCCGTGTTGGCTGTGGCCGGGCGAGTCGGACTCATCTGGCCACCGAGACGTGTTGCCCCCGGTCGCGGGGGGCGTGTTCCTGGGCAGGGGCTGCCCCTGCTCTGGTCAGCCCCGCCTGCTGCCCGGGCACTCGTGCCGTCTGCGAGCAGCGTGCACTGGCCCCCGTCTTCCGCAGTGCTGCGCCCCCGAGAGCAGGCGTCTGCCCTGTACGTGGGGTTCGGTGAAAGGTCAGGGCGTCCTCAGGCTCGGTGAGCAGAGCTTCGGGAGGCAGGTGCCCTGGCGTCGGCCCCAGAAACTGCCGGCGCTGTGCTGAGCCCGCCCAGCGGCACCAGCCGCCCTGGCAGGCCTCCCGCGCCTCCTGCCTTCGCGCAGGGCACAGGGCTGTTTCCGTGAGGCCGCTGGGCCTTCCGCTCTGCACTCCCCCACTCTTCCCTCAAGGTCCACTGGTGGCCCTCGGATCTGCTTTGCACTGCCCCAGGGCACCCATTGGCCCCGCAGGCCTGGGAGCTGCTGGGGAGCAGGTCTGATGACAGGGCTCAGTTGGCTCTTGGCTTGGAGGCCCGAGAGGAGACAGCTCTGGCTGTGGGGGTCCCTGGGCTTTCTGGGTGTTTCCAGAACTGTCAGGAGTCGGTGGGCTCGGCCTGATGCTGGGAAGCAGGAGTCAGGCCCAGGCATCATTTTGTCCTGGGAGAGGCCAGGCGGGCCCTGTCAGGCTCGGAGAGCCCACCCTGGTGTCGTCCCTGGTAACGGGGCGCCTGAGGGGTTTGACGGCTGCTGTGTCGGGCCGTCCTCATCCTGCTGGGTGCTGGCCAGCTCCCCCTGAAGGCCCAGCCGCCCACCTGCCTCTGGCCCATTGTAGAGCAGGAATTGGACTCGGTCATTAGCAGGGAAGAGCCCCAGGGGACCGATGCTGGGCCGCCAGACTCTGAGATTTGGGGTGTGGCCACCCCGTCCCCGGCCTCCCCCGGCCTCCCCGGCCTTTGAGGAGCCGCCAGACCCAAACAGCCTCCCTGTGTTCACGGAGGCAGGAGTCTCTCAGGAAGACTCTAGGAGTCTCCCGGGCTTCAGGGCCCCTTCCCCCCGACATTTTATTAACTGGCAGCGGCTCCTTTGTTTCAAATGCTGTTTTATTTCCCCATTTCTGCCCTGGGACGCCGCATGGCGTGTGCATTGTTTTCGCCTATGATACTGGCTGTCGCCCCCGGCCTTTCCCCCAGCCCCTTTGCTCTCATGGTCCTGCCGGTCCAGTGACCCCGGTCAGTGTGTGGGGTCCCTGCCTTTTGGGTGGGGCGCTGCTCTCCCAGAAACCCAGGCCCGAGTCGCCTCTCCGGTCGGGCTCTGCCCAGCACTGAGCACGCCGAGCTCTCCGCCTGGTGGGCAGCCCCGTGGCGTCCCCGACCTGCCGGCCCTCGGTGTGAGAGTGGCCAGTGGCCCTCCCAGGCCCCCTCTCCCGGAGGAACCCCGCTGCACTCCATTCCGTGACTTCTCCTGGCGGGGCTTTGGCCACCTTGTGTCCTGCACCCTCTGCGCTTCCTAAAGTGAGCTTGGCTCTGAGCCGAGGCCTGGCCCGGTCGCTCCGTGGGAGGAGGCGTCCCGCGCGGCTCGGGCTCTGGGCCGGCCGCTCGGGCGAGGGCCGCTGGGAGGGCGCCGGGCGGGCGGGCGCGGGCACGGGGCCGCTGCTGTTTTCTCTCGCTCATTTCCTAGGTCTCCTTCTCTCCTCTCTGTGGCTCTGGTGACAGGGACGATCCGTAAAGCTCAGAACCTTCTGAAACAGTATTCCCAGCATGGTCTAGATGGGAAAAAGGGGGGCTCTAACCTCATTCCCCTGGAAGGTAATCACCTGTGTTCCTCTCCTGCCTCCTCCATGTGTCCGCTCACGTGGCAGGGCAGAGCCTCCCCCCAGGAGGGCCTCGGGAGACGCCGAGAGGGGAGCAGGGTGGGGACTGCAGGTCCTGGTGCCACGCGCCCTGTGGCACCGGGACGGGGTCCGTGGCCCTCGCCCAGCCCTGTCTGGCTGACGGCAGCTCTGCCCTCCCTGGGGCTCCCTCCCTGCCTGTCTCTGTCCTTGTGTCCCATCCGGCTCAGAGCCCCCTGTCCTGGGCAGCCCTTTCACGCTCAGACCAGTGGCGGCGGGACCCAGCCCGCCCGGCTCCGGGCTGCCCCGGGCTGCCGTGCGCTGTGCCCACCTCCGGCCAGGGGGAGGGCAGCGCTCCCCGTCGCACACGAGCCCGTGCCCGCTCACTCAGTGGGGAGCCCCATGTTCTCCCCAAACATGGCGCTGGGGTGGGGCATCGGATCCTGGGGCGCGGAAAGCCCCGTCCAGCCCCGCGCCCGCACCCTCCCTTGGCCTCTGCGCTTTAGCCCCGAGGATGGTCCCGAGCACTGTAAGTCGGGCTTGAAACGGCTGTGCCCAGTGTGGTCGAGGCAGAGGCGGCGCCCCGAGCCCTCCCCGGTGCCCCCTCCCCCGTCTGTACCCCTCCTGGAGAGCGAGGGCTTCGTCCCGGCCCCGAGGGGCCGCCCACCTGGCCTGTGGGTAAACGCTGCTTGTGCTTGTGCGGCCAGCGTCCGCTAGGTCACGGGCACGAGTTCCGAGTTGAGCGCCTGTCCGAGGCCCGGAACGACAAGCACGGGCCACTGGCCGGTGAGTGCCGCAGTCCAGGCCGAGGGCAGCGCCGCCGGGGCCTGCAGCCTCCGGGGGCCAGTTCCGGCCGGCCGCTCTGCCCTGAGGATGGCCTGGCTGCTCGCCTCTCTCCCGGTCTCTTTCTTCCGGGCAGGAGGTCCCCTGGCCTCGCGCCAGGTGAGTGCACCTGACCCGGGCTGGGCCGAGGAGACGCCTCCAGTACCGTGCTGAGGAGCAGGCCGACTGGGCGAGCGGCTCCCTGGAGGGCAGGGGGGTCCAGCCCCTGCCTCCAGTGTCGCCCGGAGCCTGGCCCTTGGCACAGAGGACCAGCTGGTCTGCGGGCACCCCTGCCCCAGCCCTAGTAGTGTCCGGTGTCCACCTGAGGCAGCCGAGCCTCCTGCTCCGGGGCTCAGGTCACCCCTCCCTGGAACCGAGCCAGGCCCGCTCACCTCGTAGCCAGACGTTCCGGCAGGCCGGCGGAGGGGGGCACTGCCTTGAGGTCCAGCGTCCTCTCAGACGGCTGAGGGTGGCGCCCCCACCCACGGCCCTCTTCCCAGCGCACCCCAGCATCTTCAGGCCTGGGCTCAGACCCACCTGCCCCCTCCTTCTCCTCTCCTCGCCCCACCCCTGTACTGGCCCTCCGGCATCAGCACTGCCCTGGCAGGCCAGGCCGCGGCCTGCGCTCGGCCCCGGTGCCCCTGCCGCCCGCTGGGCCTCCTCTCAGCGTCCTGCCAGTACGGCCTTCCTCCCCCGTGACCCGTGCCTGGGCTGCTGGCCAGAGCTGGGGAGACCCACGCCCCACCCCAAGCCAGCCGCTCAGAGGCGCTGCCGTCCCCCAGGGAGAGACGACATGCTGGACGTGGAGACGGACGCCTACATCCACTGCATCAGCGCCTTCGTCAAGCTGGCGCAGAGCGAGTACCAGCTGCTGACCGACGTCATCCCTGAGCACCACCAGAAGAAGACCTTCGACTCCCTCATACAGGTCTGGCCCCTGCGCCCCCGCCCTCCGCCCCAGCAGCCCCGTCCCTGGGGGCCAAGTGCAGGCCCAGCCTGCCCGGCCTTCGGGAGCGGCCGCCACCTCCCCACTTGTCCTGGGCGCCCCCCGTGGCGTGCCCCTCGGGCCCTCTGTGTGACCTGGCCGCCGTCTGCCTCCCGCCGCTCTCAGGACGCACTAGACGGGCTCACGCTGGAGGGGGAGAACATCGCGTGCGCCGCCCGCAAGGCCGTCATCCGGCACGACTTCTCCGCCGTGCTCACCGTCTTCCCCATCCTGCGGCACCTCAAGCAGACCAAGCCCGAGTTCGACCAGGTGCTCCAGGTACGTGCTGCCAGGTGTGCGTCCCTGGGGGCCCGTCCTCGGCCTGAGGGTGGGTGGGCGCAGCTGCCGGGGGCGGCCGTGGGGAGCTTGCTGCTCGCAGCCCAGCCGGGGGTGAGCCCCGGAGGGCGGAGGAGCTGGGCCGGCCGGCAGCGCAGTGAGCGCTTGCTCCCCAGGGCACCGCCGCCAGCACCAAGAACAAGCTGCCCAGCCTCATCGCCTCCATGGAGACCGTGGGCGCCAAGGCGCTGGAGGACTTTGCGGACAACATCAAGGTGCTCCTGCCGCCACGCTGCCGGGCACCGTGGGCTGGGGCGGGGCGGGGCTGCGGGGCGCTGGCCAGGCCTTCAGCGGGGCCTCCAGGCGGCGCAGGGGGTGCCTGGGGCCTGCCACCTCCTGTCAGTGCCTCCCTTCTCCCTTTCTCCCCCGAGTGCAGGCACCCCACACTCCCCAGGTTCACCCGGCCCCCCTGCCCCGCCGCTGTCCCTTGTCACTGAGAGGCACCCAGCCGGGCCCCTGTCTGCCGGCAGGTGGCACCACGCGCCCACCGGCAGGGCCTGGCTGGCCTGGCCTCAGCTGGCTCAGGCAGTCGGGCTTTTTCCCCGCAGAACGACCCAGACAAGGAGTACAACATGCCCAAGGACGGCACCGTGCACGAGCTCACAAGCAACGTAGGTGCTGCCCGAGGCCCGGGGCGGGGAAGGCCGGCCACCCTGGCTTCCTGCGTGGCACGGATGGCAGGGCGGAGGTGGTGCGGCAGGCCTGCGGGAGAGGCCCCTCTGCCCTGCCCTGGGTGGGCCCTGGCCTTGGGGGCTCCACCCAGACCCCCGGCCCCTTCTCTCCCCCTCAGGCCATCCTCTTCCTGCAGCAGCTCCTAGACTTCCAGGAGACGGCGGGCGCCATGCTGGCCTCCCAAGGTACTTGGCGCCAGTCAGCGTGCCCTGCTGGTGACCCCTCTTCCTTCTTCCCCAGGGGGCACTGGCCAGCTCGGCCAGGGAGCTCCCCTCAGTGGGGCAGTGGCAGGACCCCGCACTGGGGCCCCCCAGGCCTGAGCACCGGGAGAGACGAGCCGCTGCCTCTCCTGACTGACTTCCCTCCTCTCTCGGCTCCCTCACCCTCCTCCTGTGGGGCCTCCCGCTCCGGAGGGCCGCTGGCCTGTCTGAAGGTGCCTCTGCCCCCCGCTCTCCGCCCCCTTCCTGGCTGCCCAGGCTCCGAGCGCCCCGCACAGCTCCTCGGCGGGCGCCTCCCCGCAGTGGCCGGGCCTGGGCCTGGCCCCGAGGCCGGCGCTCAGGAGACCTGCCCGCTGGCGGAGACCGGCCTGCCTTGTTGCAGCCCCCAGCCCGCCCTCTGCTGTCAGCGGGGCAGGGAGCCGGGGGCAGCCTTGGCCTCCAGAGGTCCGGCTGCTGCCGTGGCCCGCTGTCGTGGGGAGTGGCCTGCTGCCGGCGACACGCGTTTCTAACCTGTTTTTGCACTTTGCGTCTTTCTTCCTCTGCCTCCGCCCCTCTGTGCACTGCCTCTCACTCCGTAGTTCTTGGGGACACATACAATATTCCTTTAGACCCCCGAGGTAAGCAGCAGGGCTCTGCGGCCCATCCTCCCCCTCTGAAGCCCCGCGGGTGAGACTCCCTGGGACCCCTCAAGAGACTCAGGACTTCAGGGAGGGGGGCAGACAGACGTGGGTCTTGGGGTGTTCCAGCTCTCTCGGCTCCCTTCACGGCCTCCTCTCTCGAGCTTGTCCCGGTGGCACCCTAGTGTCCAGCGCGCCAGGTCACTCCAGGCGAGCCCTCCTCCCCGCGCCGCCCCTCCCCGCTCCTGGCCTCCACTGTGTGGGCAGCGGCCCTGCTCAGGCGGCCCAGTGCAGCCCGGGGAAGCGGGGAGCGAGGGAGGGCTGTGGAGGCCCAGTCTGAGGCCTTGCTACTGGCAGGTGGGCTCTGGGCCTCGCAGGTCCCCCCCTCACGGGTCAGGAACTAGGGTGGCAGGGATGGGCAGTCTCGCTTCTGTCCTCTAGCCTCCCTGTGCTCGAGGCCAGCTCGTTAGCCACCCAGCCCCCGCCCCCAGCTCCGGTGGGGCCGGGCGAGGGCGTCGGGGGAGGCGGGGAGCTCGGCCGCTCAGTGGAGCCCAGCTCTGGCCGAGCGCCTCCGCGCTGTCTGCCCTGAAGCCTCGGGCGCCCCGCCAGCATCTCCTGGGTGGCTCCCTGGGCTGAGGGGAGGCCAGAGGGTCTTGGTGCTGCTGACGGGTGGTAACAGCGGGCTTCTCCTCTGCAGAGACCAGCTCCTCCGCCACCAGCTACAGCTCGGAGTTCAGCAAGCGCCTCCTCAGCACCTACATCTGTGAGTGTC